GGCAAAAGTGGGTCACAGTAAAAACAGAACTTACCTGTGAGCACGGGAAACTGAGGTGGAGGTGTGTGCACGCATCACCAGCCTTTCTCATGGTCAGAGTGGGAAATGTGCCCGGACAGCAGGTTTTGGGGACATAACAAGAAAATCCTGCACAATCTAACTATTGGGAGATCAGCAGTCAGGTTCTCATGTACCCCCCGATAACCTTGGCACCAAGGGAGCTACAATTTGAAAACCCATATAGTAAAGAATATCACCACCTTCATAACCCAAATGTAACCTACAACTTGCTCTCTTGATACCTCCCAACTCAGCTTCTGACTATTCAAGTGCCACTCCTCTTCCTGCACCCCCCCCCCCAACCGCTGTTCCTCTCCTCTGACATCAACCCCCTCCTTAAAAAAAGATCACCCTTGATCCCTGCAAACCTGGCCCATCTCCAACCTACCCTCTGTCGAAAGTTCGGGAACTCCCACCATTCTCTCCACTCCCTGCTTGAGGCCATTCGGTCTGGTTTCTGCTCTGACACAGCCCCCATCAAAGTTTCCAATCACGCCCTCTACCTCAGCAGTTGGGCCTCTCGCTGCTGTTTTTGACACTGTGGACCATTCCCGGGATCCTCCCTCGTCTCTGAGATCAGACTCCTAGTTCAAATCCTACCAGCACCTTGGGACATCCTCCCGACATGAAAGGCGCTATATAAATGTAATCTTCTTGTTACTTCACTCACTGCTTCCATTTTGTCTCCTTCAACGGTTGCTAATCCAGTCTTCACACAGTTACTGTAGTGTAGCTCAGAGCTCTATCCTCAACTACCTCCTTGTCTTCATTTGTCATGCTCCCTCTTGGTGGTATAATCTACAGACATGGGGTTAACTTCCACAGGGATGCAAAGATTGCCCAAATCCACTTTTCTTCCTCAAATTAAGTCCACTGATGTTATGGCTGCCAGTTTGTCAGACGTCAAGACATGGACACGTTACAAGCTGTTTGGTAAAGGTCCTCCCACTACACAGATGGGGAAACTCAGGCTTGTAGTGATAACTGCTGGAAGCGTTACCTTGAGTTTGAGTTCATACGTCCAACGCCTTGATTGGCTGCAGAGAGGCCAGCAGCTGCTGCTTAAACTCCACACCTCCAACTGGTGGAACCATCGCTCAATGGGAAGGGACGTGTGCCTGAGCTGCGGACAGGAAGATGGTGGCAATGCTCTCACACATTTCATGGTGAGCCATGTTGCCCACTGGGAAGCTCACAGGGAGTTCCTGGCTCCTGCCATTCACCTTGTGAGGCTCAAACCGGCCTTGTCGGATGTCGAATGACCAACTAGTGACTATCCTCTTTGTGGGGAGGTAACTGGGGTCTCCTCAGAGCTGAACTGGCTCAATGGTGACATACCTGGCAACAGAATCTCATAATTGAGCCAACCTTCTGTGGCGGTCTCTGTACTGGGCCAGGTGGGTCTGCAGTATTCCAGGGCACTGCTGATAACAGCGCGGCCAGACTTGGACTTGGTAAACCAGATCAGTCACTGGGGTAGGAACTCTTCACATTCAGCTCCCATTAACCCTACAAGTGCAGATTCCATTTTAAGACATATCTGGAATTTCCATATGTAGGTGGGATGCATGAAATTCTGTTTGGTTTGGATACTCTTAAGCACGGTGATGGGTTTCTGCACATGTCAGACCCCCCAAATAATCAAGGCTTGGATGAACACCCACTTTTTGCAGCTAAATATGAAAAGGCAAAAGGCAACGTCTCCTCACCTCTGGATCCACCTCTTCAGTTTTCCTGAGTTTTTTCTCAAATGCACCAAACATGCACAGTCTCGGCATCCAGTTCGCTCCCCAGCTGTGTTTCCTTCCCCACGTTTGGTCCTAACCAGGATGGCTTCCTTCCACCTCTGTCCATTGCCCATCTCCTCCTCATCTCACACCAAATGCTGCTGAAACCCTCATCCACGCCTTGGTCACCTGCAAGCTATTGTTTCAACAGCAACGGCTTGCATCTATATAGTGCCGGATGTGGAGTAGGAAGGACAACTGTGGGTTGTACCTGAGACCTAGGTTGGCACCGTCGACTGTGTCATTGCCATCAATCTCGCCTCATCAGTTGGAAAAGACATCACACAGACTAACTTGAGGTGGTGTGGGAATTCAGATGTTAATAATGGACGGAGTGTCTAAACAAACTAGTTTGCTGAGAAATTGTGCAGAGTGTACTGCCTTGTTCCTGGAAGAATGTCCCTTTCTCCGTGAGGTACACAATAGAGGATTGGTATTGTGTTCATTGCTACCATATGCAACAATCACACAGGGTCTCCCGTTTGTTTACAACAGTTTTGGCTTATCACAGAACACAACCACAATGCGCTGGATAATTTCTTGGCAAACTGGGACGTACTGGCTGAGTACTGACAAAAGCAGATTGGGCAATATGTCAATTTTGCATGCTGTTCTACAATCTCGTTGAAAGTGCACAGATCTGGAGACTTAAAGGGGCAATAAATACCAACAAAGCACCTTAGTTTAATTTGAGATTGTGTTGCCTGTTATGAGAAGGGGCAGTGTCCACTGAAATTCCATTACTGACAGAATGGTGTTTAAAGAATTATGAAGAAATCTTTAATAACATGGAGTCCTGCAGCTCAGAGCAAGCAAGAGGACCTGTGTTTGATTCTCGGCAGGGCAAAACCTTAGGCAAATTTCCTTATTCCACAAACCTCTGTTTAACTAACAGTAATTAGAAATCTGGTTGTTAGTTGATTGGTGGATCATTTTTTGGGGGTAGTAATCCTTCAAAAGCTCCTTTTAAAGGTACCAACACCTTTTTTAAAGTAAATAAACATTCAGCTTCGATAAGTTTTATCTGGGAAATTCTTTTCAAGAAATGATAAAATACATGAAGCCTCAAAAGCAAAAGCATCAAGAAAAAAACCAATAATAAATTGGTCACTTCAAATCCACAACTGTTTGTGGGATGGCTGATGCATTTTGCCTACAAATAGTCAGTTTACTTTACTGTGAAGCACTTTGAGACATCTAGAAGACGTGAAAAGCACTATATCAAATGCAAGGATTATTATTATGTTAGCTGTTAATAATAATAATCCCTTGCATTTGATATAGCGCTTTTCAAGTCTTCTGGACATCTCAAAGCGCTTCACAGAATTTGCTGCAAAGTGAATTAACCGTATATTTGTGGGCGACATTTGTGTTTTATCTACTGGAGGTTTATTCCTCGATATGTTCTTATCTGAACACTTTTACAATTAGCATTAATCACCTCAATCACTGCAAGGCTTTGAGATGTCTCAAAAATATGAAAAGGCGCTATATCAAATGCAAGGATTATTATTATTATTGCAATGTCGGGGCCTTCTGTTCTCTTTTAAACTTGGCCAAAATTTAATAGCAGATTATTTTTTAAAGGTACATGTTAACTGTTGCCTTTAAAGGATGGACACGATTTTACTAGATTACAGCTTTTTTATGTTCCTGTTTTTGTGTGCCTTGCAACACTATAGTACAATCAAATGGAGATTTTTTCTATTTTAATTAGGTATTTTAACTTTTGTGCTTTGCCAATTTTCTTTGTGAAATAAATGGCACTTGATTTTCAGTGACTAGTGTTGTGGATTGTGTACTGGATACTGGAGAGCAGCTGGGAATAGACTTCAAATTATTTGACCTAAGGCCAGTTTATGATTTATTAAACTGATGGGAAAATAGTTTTAGGACATTGCTAAGAAATGGTGAATATTTGGTTTCTTTTTCAATTTTTATAAACAAAACTCGCCTCAAAGCCAGTTTGTGTGGTATTTGACAGACTCTGCAATTATGCCATTGTTACATGAAGAGTGCTATCTTTATTTGACAATAAAGAGAGACATTTATATGATTGCTGTCTTTAAGATTCTAAAGGGAATAGATAATGTAGACCACGAGAAGCTATTTTATCTTGGATTGAACAGAGAACCAGAGGACACGGCCTGTGATTGAAGGGGGTAAATTCAGAACAAATCTGCGAAAATACTACGGCGAGCGAGTAGTAAACGTATGGAACAGGCTCCCTAGGGAGACAGATGGTGGAAGCAGAAAAGTTTGTTTGTTTCAAGAACAAAATTAGATAGATTTCTGCTGGAAAATAATATCTGGGGGATACAGTATATAGTTTGGGACACGACATGTCAAGCGACTGCCAGGATGGTGGAAGGCGAACTAAATGGACCTCGGTCTTCTTTCGCCAGCAAATTCTTATGTTCTTATATTGGTTGTGTTTATTACCATTGCGCTAGTACGCTGCTTATGTGAACTTGTTATTTCAGCGCGTTCCCACCAACAGTGACCTGTAATTAACAGTGTGTCCGAGCACTCTGCGTGAAGGGCGCTATTTGCAAGTTGTTTGTTGTTGTGTCATCCCAGTGTAGCACGACTTTTAATTGCTCTCCGGACAGAGCTGGGCAACATTGGGTTGACACTTTACCCGAACCTAATGTGGAGTATAAAAAGATTGTGAAGTGTGTAAATTTTCCACACTCCAATAAAATGCAATAAACTTCTAATACTTGGTGTTTATATCGATGGCTGCTCCTCCTCCTCTGGAACAGAGGTCTGTGTGTGTAGATATCTGGTTGAGTACAGGATTGAGCACAGCTGTGATTAGTGCCCCTATCTGTAGTTCAAAGTTTGCAGCCTCACTGTCTAAACTCTCACATACAGTTATGTTTGATAAGGTACTGGAGAGGGATGGCACCCACTGGAACACTTGCCCAGGTCAACAGTTTTCAGGAGGGGAGGAAATTGGGAAAGGCAAAAGGTTCTGGTGGATAACAAAACACCTAGCCTGAAGGTTTTGTGTACTGCATCCATAACCTTTCACTAGAGAAAGTTGTAAAATTCCAATAAAATACAGTTGGAATTTACGTGGGTTTAGACATAGCATATGCCACAAATGTACCTTTTCGCTATCAATTTCACATTTTTCATTCGTTACAGTGGGACGAACTACAGCTGACTTTACAAAACTGAAACCAGGTATGAATCAAAGTTTTAAAGCTTGATTTCAGCTTATTTTAATGAAGTGGTTAATTTTGAGTACCACCTAACCCCCGATCCTACCCTTACTTAGATAATCTTGCTGTGTAACTATTGGGTTGTAAACGCTTTCAACCTGTCGGACAAAAGCACATGACACAATGTAAGAAAAAGCTGAACACTCTAGTTTGAGGAGATGGAAAACAGATGTTTCCATATGACAATTTGATGTCATGATGTCATGTGCTTTTGTAGTTTTGACCATGTTTGTGTTCCACAAAATACCTAAACCCACTTTGTATTCACCTGTAATTGGTGTTTATTCAGTTCCCTTTACTGCAGTGTCTTCAAATTGAAACCTGTGTCATTCAGCAAAGTGTAGAGCATCCCTGGTATAACACACTTTGTAAAGCGCAAATTTGTTCATGATTTTGCACTAAAATTGCTGACTTCCAGGTCATTAGATCACAACGGCCACTTGCTGCATACAGTCATGTCAGCAGAGATCGACTGACCCTGAAGTTGGCCATTTCAGCTTCCTGTGCCAAAAAATAGCTAACTTTGTCACGAGGTGCAGATATCATCACTTTCCTTGTTGCATCTGCAAAACAAACAAGAAATGACAGTGACCTGATGACCTGTTAAGTCAGCCATTTATTTGCCGAAAATCATCTGCAGCCCAGGGGCTGACATACTGGAGCTGCAAACAGCTTTAGCCCTTCGTTATAGGGATACGAATCACCGCATTATAATGGGCTTCACTGAACTGAGCCTCGTTGGGTGTTTTTTTAAGTAAGTCCAGTTCTGAGAAACTATTGTACTTGGGATCTGAATATTGGGATCAAGTCAATCCTCTGCAGTGGCCACGTCAGTCTGGTTCCTGAGCTTAGCTGGTTGATAGGACTTGGCATCAGATGGGACCAGGGATTCTTTCCACATGGTTTCTTGTTAACCTGGTGAGCCAAAGCCCTCACGGATAGGGTGGTCCTAACTGGTCAAGCAGAAGGAAGCTTGTCAGAGTGTTCTCAATGGCATGATATGTGGAGTACTGTAGCTCAGTGGTTAGAGAACTCGCCTTGCAAGCGAGACATCTGGGTTCAATTCCAGGCAGGGAAACTTGGGCAAGTTTCCTTACTCCACACAGAGCCTAATAATAATACCTCCAAAACAAAACAATAATAAATATTCAACCCACGGCTGTTTGTGGGACACTGGTGTGCGCAATTGGCTGCTGTGTTTCGCTCACAAAATGTGCAGTCAATTCACTTTACAGTATATCCTGTGAAGCGATTTGAGACATCTAGAAGACGTGAAAAGCGCTATATCAAATGCAAGGATTATTATTATTATTATTATTATTATTATCATTTTAGTTGGTTAGACTCCAGTAGTTACCCCAACACACACTCTGGGATCCCCAAGCCTTGGCTCTTGCCAACCTGCCCCAAATATTCTTTCGAATTAAGTAAACAGGCTGTGTCCCTCCAGAGAGAGAGAGCATATTCCATTCCAGCAATCTATCTCTGGAATTTCCATGTGTAGGTGGGATGCCTGGAATTCTCAGCTTGGTTTGGATTCCAGACATGGGGAAACTTCTATGTTTTAATGTGCGTGTGTGGAACTCTGTCTGGTTTGGGTCCTTTTGAGCATAGTGATGGACTCCTGCATGTGTCAGACATGCAGTTGACCTTAAAAAATACTTGTAAACCTTGTGCTACATTATATGCTCATGATTTTAAATTTGTATATTGAGTGCTTCCTTTTCAAAAAATGTTCCCTAGCACACAGAGGTCATCGAGTTATTTTCATGAGAGAAATAATACTTCTGTCATATCGCATTGAAACATTTTAAAATGCTTTTTCACTAATGAGTGAGGGATATTGAGCAGAGTATAGTGGGCACTGCACTCTGCCTGCCCTTCATGGAATCATTCACAACAGGCAGACTGGGGGCCATGTTTGACTCATCTTGACAACAGTGTGAGTTTGCACAGTGGTTGCAGGGAGCACAAGTATTGCAAGAAAATGTTTAAGTTCCAAATACTGTACTTTCCTAACAAAGCTGGAGATAATTGATTCCCTCTTGAACTTGGTGAAAGTCACTTTCAATCGTTTTTTCTATATTCTTTTGTACGTTTGTTTCTAATCCCTTTCATCTTAATTCAGTACAAACTCTAATCAAAATAGTGACTAGAATTAATCTGTGTGTATCAACTCCAATTTAGGTTTATATTATTATACAGCACCTGTCATATCAAATAATATCTCAAAGTGCTTTTTACAGGATTAGATTAATTAGAAATGAAATGATTGGCATTAGGAAGGCACATGCGGCAGGCAATTACAATTGGGAATATCAATTATCAGAGGAGGATTTAAATAATTTGCAATCTCTTCACATTTCAAGCTCAGGCCAATGGGCCTCGGAACCAAGTTTATCCTTTATCGTCGTCTCCGGCATGAATTGACTGGAATATTTAATATATTGAATGCACTAGTTTTTATACTATAAATATTCATTTTACAGCAAGAATATCTGAAAACTATAGTCCTATTCAACCCATAAGAGTGGACCCTGCATAGGTTTCCATTTAAGATTTAAAGGTTTTTTGAGCAATATGTTGATGGCTGCTGCGTATTGTTCTGTGCACGCCTCCTTGTGGCCAGTTGCAATATATTAGCCCAGATTTCATTATTTCATTCATTTTCTTTCATTCAAACACAGATGCAGATCCATGAAGATCCTTTGCTGACTGCTGTCCGTTCCCATCTTTAACTTTTAATTGTAAGAATGAACCGAGCCTGTCCCAACCAAAGGAAATGTCACACTTCCCCATTAGTGTTGTCTGATAAAGCCAAGGGTTACAGGGTGAGCTGAGCACACACTGGTCAGACTGGATTTAGTCCGTAAGCTTGTCTGAACAGTAATTTGTCTGTGCATTAAACAATAGGTAATGAAAATTCTCCCAGCCTAGCTTTGAGGTGCATATGCTAGTCACTGCATTTACAATTTACAATTTAACTGGGGTTTTAAGGACTCGTTTGAATTTGCTTCTAGCTTACTTTCCACAACATACCTTAAATTAGTACCTTCACGTACGTCTCTTTGTGACGAGTTTTAGACTGATATTGGCAGAGCAAAAGTAGGCTGTCTACCTTCACTTGTGAATGGGGACTGATGAGGGGGGAGCACTGCTAAGAATTGTAGAAAATGGGTTAAAATAACATGACTAATCTTTTTCATCTACAAGTGCATTGGTACATTTTATTATAGCTGTGCATTCTCTTTGCATATGTGTATATTGCAAAATTAAATTAACACTGCACCCTAACAGTTGGGAATATCCAATTATTTCACTAAATTTATTGTCTCTCCAAAGCATTTATATATATACTAGCTGTACCCGTTGCAACCAAAGGATCCGATATGGAATGTAGATTGACACATAGACAGACATTTCATTTTTATCTATACTCATCTGGGAGGACTCCTGTGGGAGGACTCGGTTCTTTAAAAATGTAATTTTGTTGTTGTTGCCACGGCTTAGCTTTGTGTGAGTTCTTTATTTTGTTTCTGCCGTTTGGCTACGTGCGTGCTCTGTGACACAGGATGCCACAGCGCCACAGTCAGCCGGCATGACCACCAGGTGTAACTGCAGGGCGTGCATATATACATGCGTGCTCTGTAATGCACGATGCCATAGCGCCACTTTGACTCGGTGACCACCAGGTCGCTGTAACTGCAGCGAAAAATGTAAAACTGAAAATAACTCACGAACAATAGGAGATACTGACAAACAAATATGCCCATGTCACCCCTAGATGCAAGACCTTTCCGATGAGGTATAAATCATGTCTCTACGTCAATCAGTTATTGAGATCCTTCTTGAAGCGCAGACACATTGTTGTTTTATTAGTATAAGAAAGAAGATGTGTATGTGTGTACACAGTTTATAAAGACCTGCCAGATTCTCCTTTTCAGCATTTTCAGCGTAGAACACTTGCCTCGCAAACCTGGGTTTAATTCCCAACAGGGTGAAATGTTGGGCAAGTTTCCTTACTCCACACGCGTCTGTTTACCTAACAGTAAGTGGGAACCCGGTTGTTAGTCTATTGGCGGATCACTTTTCTGGGGGTAATAATCCTTTCAAAAAAATAATAATAATAAATTGGTTGCTCAATCCACGATTGTTTATGGGACACTGCTGTGCGCAATTAGTTGCCGCGTTTCACCCACAAAATACTCACTTTACAGTATATTCTGTAAAGCGCTTTGAGACGTCTCGAAGATGTGATAAGGCTATATCAAATGCAGCGATTATTATTATTACTGTGTCTCTTCAGTATCAGATGTGCCTTATGAGAATGAAACCGAGAAGAGAGAATTGAGGCTTCAAGGGTGAGAGAGTTTGCCTTTGAAGTTCTGGCACAAAATGTAATTCTCTTGCAGATAGTACTACAGATGGGAACTGGAGAATAATGTTGATTCTTCGAAACTGAGGTTTTGTCAACTGAAGAGCTGTGGCTGAGCTACTTAATCACTGAGCTAAGCAAATACATCTTTACTGAAGTCAGGAACACTGGCAGCCAAGCTGTTGTGGCAGCATGAGGCAAATAGATCATTGGCTGGGAAACGTACCATCACAGAATAAACTGTACAGTGAATTGACTGTATATTTTGTGGGCAAAACGCGACAGCCAATTGCGCACAGCAGCGTCCCATGAGCAGTCATTGATTGAGTGACCAATTTATTTTTTTTGAAGGAATTATTACCCCTGGAAAAGCGATCCGCCAATCAACTAACAACTGGGTTCCAATTTACTGCTAGGTAAACAGATGTATGTGGAGTAACGAAACTTGCCCAACATTTCGTCCTGCTGGTAATCAAACCCAGATCTCTTGCTTGCGAGGTGAGCGCTCTAAGCAATGAGCTACAGGACTCCACAAAGAGTGAAGCAGTGGACTATGGTTAAATGAGAAAAATCATAATAATTATCCTTAGATTTGATAAAGTGCCTTATCACGTCTTCGAGCCGTCTCTAAGCGCTTCACAGAATATCCTGTAAAGTGAATTGACTATTTTGTGGGTAAAACTCGGCAGCCAATTGTGCACAGAGGCGTCCCACAAACAGTTGTCGATTCGAGTAACCAAATTTTTTTTACATATATGTATATTTTTTGAAGAGTTTGTTACCCTCAGAAAAGCGATCTGCTAATCAATTAACAAGCGGATTCCTACTTACTGCTAAGTAAACAGAGGCGTGTGGAGTAAGGAAACTTGCTTAAGGTTTTGCCCAGCCATAGGGTTATAGGTTCCCAAGTGCTTTGGCACGCTAATCTGCGTGAAGGTTGGTATATAAATGCAAATTGTTGCTGTTGTAGGTTCAATCCCGGCCAGAGAGTAATTTCTTTGTCATCAATTTCTATTGCAGTAAATGGCTATTTACCTGAACAGAATTCTATAGTTGTGTATGTTCATAGCGCCACTTGATCCTTACAGTGTTATCGTGCCTTTCATTTTGGGGGGACGTCCCAAATATTTTCACGGGATATACTGCAAAGTGCAGTGTGTGTTTTATGAGAGAATGTGCAGTATGATTACAGACGCCCATTTCACCATCCACAGATGTTCCTGCACGCACCAACAGATGTTGACTCAGACCCGATGTACACAATCATCAGTTTCTGAGGTTAATCATACACATTCTCTCACAAACTACAATTGGATCAATATGGGCATCTATCATAGTGTTGGCTACTGATAAATACAATTCATTGTGTGACGAGTAGTTTTCATTTCTCCCTTTAACTGTAACCCAACATTTTGATACACAAACCCTTGCATGAACTGATGACAGTTTGGCAGACCAGCAGCAGAGAGACTATTGAAGAAGCTTTACCGGGGTCCTGTGGCCTTTGGATAAAGGGAGTGAACGTTCAGCTTGGACAATGCGGAATATTTCATATCTTATTTTTTCGATCCCTTTTTAGGCATAACTGGCGATCACCGAGTCCACGATGCTAAAGACAGCAAGGACTCCAAACATGGTCGTGGCAGAGCAGGGGAGTCCACCCGCTTCTACCCCGTGAATGTGGCTCAGCCGTTTGAGTTTACCAGTAAGTTCAGTCACACTGACTCGCAATAGAATTGTGCTTCTCGGTGAGGTCACTTTTTATTAACAGCTTGTTATAATGACCTGAGTTTACCCTCAGAGAATTACGGATCACCAGACTAGTTGGGTTGTACAAGAAGGCCTTTCATCCCCTTTGATCAGAAATGAATGAACGGGCTTGACATTTGAGGGGAGAAAGCTGTGTCCTGCACAAATAGAGGAAACTGAGATTTCCAACGACTGCTTTAGTCGTGGAGATGTAATAATAATAATAAGAATCCTTGCATGTCTGTACAAGTTACATAAGAGCCAGGCCTGGAGATAAATGAGAAGTTAGCAGGGAAAACTTTCCTCAAAGAAAGTTTCATCAGGTCTCTTGTGAGTCAATCCAAAAAGGTATCTTGAAGTAAGATGCCATAACTTGGTTGGACTTGTGAGAGACTGGAGGAAACTTTCTTCAAGGAATGGAGAGAAACTAAACTCTTGCCCATTGAAGGTATTTGTCCACAAAATACACAAGTCAATTTACTTCCCAGTATATCCTGTGAAGTGCTTTGAGATGTCCTGAAGACGTGATGAAGTATTTTATCAAATGCAAAGATTATTATTATTTATTACTGAGGTGGTAAAGGGATAGTGATTCAGTTATTGCTTTTTAAGAGGAACAAAGATAGTGCTTGGTTCAGTGGTAGCACCCACACCTTTGAGTCAGAATGTTGTCGGTTCAAGCCCCATATAGTCTTAAGCTGACACTCCAGTGTTGTGCATACCATTTTACAGGATATACTTTGAAGTACAGGATATGCTTTGAGACAGTTCAATGATGTGATGATGCACTTTATCAAATACAGGAGGTAGAATTTTATTATTTTATCTTTGTTCATCTCATAATGTAATGGCTGGATTGGTGATTCAAAGTCAACTGTAATCTATTTCATCTTAGAAACAAGTAGTGAAACACCAGGTATGACTGAAAAGGAAAAGGAGACTGCTAAATCCCAGACCAGAAGAAAGCTTTACAGATGGATTTTGTTTGCAGGAAAGTGCCCTACAGGCTGGCATCACTATGAGGGGACTGCCAGCTGTTACAGAGTGTATTTAAACAATGAAAACTATTGGGATGCTGTACAGACATGTCAGAAAGTCAATGGATCTTTGGCTACTTTTACCACTGACCAGGAGTTGAGCTTCATACTGTCTGAAGAATGGGACTTGGAAGAGAGGACACTGAGCCGTAAAGACCAGAGGAGGTGAGGATATATATCATTTGGGCGAATGATGCAAGGTTGAGGTTGTTGCAGAATATCAGAGCTATATTATCTGAATGTCTGTACTTCAGGACGTAAGGGCCTGTAGCTCATTCCTGTGAACTGGAAAGGATTTTGAAGCATATGTGATCTTGTCTCTGTGTGTGTGTGTGTGGTCTGTCTGCCTGCCTGCCTGCCTGCCTGTCTGTCTGTCAGTTGTTTTTGATCTGTTCCCTTATCACTGGTGAATCAGACGCTCTGTTCCCTTCAGTCACTGCAGTTGCTGCATATACAGAGATGTGAAGGAGCCAAATATCTATGTTTGTAATTGCTAAAGCAGGTTGCAGACCATTGAGTGCAGAGAAAGGTGTGGTATGTTCCACACCAAATTGGGGAAGAGGTTGTGTTCAATTACTTATTCGCTTATCATACGCCTGGTTGCTTTAGTGCTACATAAACAGATGCTATTCAGTGGTCTTTGCTAGTAATTTCAGTACCAATATCTCCAGGAGTGGCACCAACTCCGGAAGGCTCCTGGGAATCTGATGCTAATCACTTAGAAATATATGGTACAGAATTGGGCCATTCCATCCAATGGGTTTGTGCCTGTGTTTATACACCACACAAACCCCCACCTCTCCTATTCCCCTCTTCTCTGTTCCTCTTTTCCTTCAGTCAAGTTTCCTCTTAAATGCATTGATGCTTTTTGATACAACCACAGCTTCCAGCAGTAAGTTCCACAGTCTCACAATTCTGCATGTGAACAAGTTGCTAATAAAGTCCCTATTAGACCTATTACTAGCTATCTTATTTATGTTCTCTCATGTGGATTCGCCAACAAGTGGATATAGCCTATTAAGCTTACTGAATCCTTTCATAATCTTAAACACCTATTGAGTCCTCTCTGAATTGTGTCAACTGTAGAGAGTAAAGCTCTATCCTGCTCAATCTTCCTTGATGGCCGAATACACTTATCCCTGGTAACATATTTGCAAATTTTTGCTGTAACCTCTCCAATTGTACAATGTCCTGGCTGTAATATGGCGACCAAAACTATATCAACTATACTCTAAATGCAGTCTAACCAAGATTTTACATAAATGTAACATTACATCTGATTTTTTTTTCCTCTGGAGATAAAGGCAAAAACTCTTAATTGCCTTCTTTATGGCCTTATCTCTTGTGAGTCTGAATTCCAAGGTTCCTTTCTTCTTTTACGCCTCTCGGGTTCCTACTATCCATGGTATAGTTGGCTTCTTTATTCTTCCTGCCAAAGTGAATCATTTCTCATTTCCCTATATTAAATTTCATCTGCCACCTATCTGCCCTTTCTGCAAGTTGATTTATAGTCTACCTGTAATCCTCTTCATTATTTACCATATTCCTCAGTATTCTGTCTTTGGTTTTGAACGACTCCTTATCTTGGGCGACTTGATACTACACTCCACCCTCTTTGGTCCACCTCTGCTGACTTTCCTCCCTTTCTCCTCTCGCACGCTCTCGCTCCACCTCCACTCCGCCTCTCACATCCATGCTCACCCCTTTGATCTAGTGATTACCTGAGGCCTCACGATCTTGGACATCAGCATCACTGTTAAGCCATCTTGGACCATTATTTAATCTCTCTTAACTCCTTCATTCCACTCCCTGCCAACCAATCCACTTCTATTTCTTATCGCCCTTCACTCACTCTCCCCCGCCCTAGAGTCATTTGAACTAGGGTTCCACCCCTCTGTCAGTCACTCTCTCTCTCCCCTCTCTTTCTCAGTCTCAGGCATTCTCTCCTCTTCCCTCTCTCACACACACTCTCAATTTCTCACTCCCCCTCTCTTTCTCTTTCACTTTCTTTCATCTCTCTCACGCTCTCTCTCTCTTCCCCCACTCTCTCTCAAACACTCTTCCCCCCTCCCTGTCTCTCTTTCTCTCCTCCTTCTCTCTCTCAATCAATCTTTGTCTCAATCAGCCGCGCGGCAGAAGCTGGTGGTTGGGAGGTTTCCCCTCAGCTTGGGAGCGGATTCCTGACAGACTGCAGCAACAGGTGGATTTCCATTCCCCGAGGCTCAATGCGCTGAAGTCTGTCAGGAAGTGCCTTTTGAGCTGAGGGGAAGGCAATTGGGTCTCTTTACCAACCTCTGCCTCCTGCTGCTGCCATGAGAGGACAGTTTGCCCGTGAGGGAGGGAGGGAAGGGGTGGCCCGGAGTTGGAAATGGTTCTTGAGCCGGATGAAAACATTCACTGGGCCGGATGTGGCCTGCGGGCTACCGGTCGGAAGATCTTGTCCTACACCATCTGTATTTTCTTGGCCAGTCTGCTTTGTGAAAACTGAAATAAAGTATTTGTTTAGTATTTCATTTTCCACTGTGAGATTTTCCACTTTACCCTTCAGCTATAGCTCTGTAAAAAAGCATCTTTCCATATTGTCATTGACAGGGTTGTTTTTGTCCTTCCAGATTCTGGGTTGGCTATCAATACATAATTACCAACCTAAGCCGAACTTCACTTGAGGGACAATGGGAAGTGGCTTACAAGAGTAGTAAGTATTGGTAATAATCCTTGCACCTCTATAGCGCCTTATCACATCATCATCACATCGTCAAAAAGGTTCAAAGCGCTTCACAGGATTTTGCTGTGAAGTATAATAACTGTGTATTTTGTAAGCACACGTGATGACCAATTTATGACCGGCCATGTCCCACAAACAGCCATGAAGTGAGTGACCAATTTTATCTGGAAGATTGTGGGCCAAGCCAAACCCAAGGACACCGATTTAAAATAGTTGTTAAAAGAAACTGAGGGGAGGTGAGCAGAAATGTTTTCACACAGCAAGTTGTTGGGATCTGGAATGCATTGCCTGAAAGGCTGGTGGGAACCGATTTGATAACAACTTTTAAGAGAGTAGATAATTATTTGGGGAGGACAAGTTTGCAGGGCTATGGGGAAAGAGCGGGGGAGTGGGATTAATTTGGAAGCTCTTTACAAAGAGCCATCACGGACACAATGGGTTGAATGGTGTCCTTCTGTGTTGTATAATTCTATGATTCTATGAAGTCACTGGGAGAAACTCCTTCTTTTGAATATTGTCATGAGATCTTAATGTCCACCTGGACAAGCAGATGGAACCTCGTTCTCATCTGAAAGGCGTCACCTCCGACAGTACAACCTCCCCCAGCACTGCATTGGAGAGTCAGCCTCGACTGAGAGTCCAAAAGTCCTGGCACGAGGGCTTGAACTGATGACCTTCTAACTCGGAGGCGAGAGTGCTGCCAAATGAGGTTGACAGTGACATATCACAGAGGTATTCCAGTCACTGATTTAAAACTCAGAGCTGCAGCAAGTTTACCTAATAAACCATTTGGAATTTAATAAATAAATCATTCTTGCATTTGATATAGAGCCTTATGTCCTTGAGATGTCTTAAAGTGCTTCACAGGATATACTGTAAAGTGGATTGACTGTTTATTTTGTGAGCAAAACCGACTTAACTATCAGTACTCCAGCATGCTTAGAAGATTGGGAGATTAAAATGTTGAACAGCACAGCTGGGAGGTCCACCTTCTGGTTGGAATTGTAAGAAGAAAAGGACAGGATCTTCCTCTGATCGTGTCCCTCTCCTCATTTTCTCCTCTGCTGAAGGCATTGAATTGTTCATTCACAGTGGAGCACGAGGCCATACTGAATGGAACACTTTCCTATTTTCGGCACCCAGAGTTGACTTTGAGCATCCCTGTCTCTTCTGAAAGTCAGTACCTCAGGCAATATAGCAATCTTACAGTAGTGTACTGGAGAGTCGGGCTGCACTGTGAGCTCATGGCCTCACCAGAGCTTCAGCCCACTACTTGACCCAGAGGCACGGATGCTACCAATCAAGTACAATAGTTCTACACCAGTCTTTAAGGGGCTAATGCTTTTCTCTTACAGGTTCCACTGAGGTTTTCCTGCCACCAAAAAAAGTGCCTAGATTTGGGATGACCATCTCTGACCAGGAGACTGTGCTGTGTGCTCAGTTGCAATGCTCCCATTCCCCCAGCCTCCGGCACCATGGCTTGCACAGCTGGTATGCTGAGAACTGCAATGAAAAATCAGCGTTCCTCTGCAAAAGAAGTGAGTAATGGTTGGACACGTGTCACTCCTTTCTGCACTGTCACTCATCAGAAGTGTAATTTTTTCTCTAACTAATGATTAGAATGTTTTATTATAAATTTAGGATTTAACTCTGAAGAGGACTGGAGAATAGCACAATGTAATACCTATTTTTTAAAAAGGGTGATGGAGCTAATCCAGGAAACTAGTCATCCTAACATGGGTTGTGGGCAAGGTATTTGAATTTATAATTAAAGATGAAGTAGCTAGTCATGTGGAGAAGAAGAATATAATTAAGAGCATCCAGCGTGGATTTACAACAGAAGGTTATGCTTGACCAACCTTATCTCGTTCTTTGAAGATGTAACCAATAAAGTAGTTGAGGGAATTGCAAGTGTATTTAGTATTTGGATTTCCAGGAAGCCTTTGATAAAGTGCCACATAAGAGACTCGTGATTAGAATAAGGACATGTGGAGTTGTGGGAGACGTGGCTGAATGGATTAAAGAATAGTTAGGAAACCAAAAGCATAGGGTAAGGGTATGCCCTTAAGGGCATCGTCTTAGGCTGGCAAGAAGTAAGGACTGCTAACTGTTCACCAGATACATAAATGATTTGTTTTCAGGTATAGGAGGTGTGGTGACAAAATTTGCAGTCGAGTCGAAACTGGGAGGTGTGGTAAACAGTGAAACAGTGAAGAATAAAGAAGCTGCCTACAGTGGTACAGTCCTACCCAGTTATCTCAAAACCTTTTATGTTGACATCCTGCTTTACCACTAACAAAGTGAAGTTCACCTCCCTTTTCCTCACATTAATAAACTTACTATCTATGTCAACAATGACATAAACTCCAGCACACCTATATTTACTAGTTATTTAGGTTCCTAACAGTATTAAAGGCATTGTTCCATTAGCACTTATGTCGATAGTTGCTTCTTAAATGACTATTTCACTATTTTTTGTTATTTTTGTAAATAAACAAAAGTTTTGTAAATAAAGTAATGAAAAAGCATGTAAATAAATGATTCAAGAATTTAATTAAATCTACGACTTTAAAAAAAATCAGAAATGTTCATCACAAAATACCTATTGTGATCTTTTTGATCATACTTGTCCTGTAGCTCAGTGATTAGAGCACTCGCCTCTCAAGCGAGAGACCTGGGTTCGATTCCCGGCAGGGGGAAACCTTGGGCAAGTTTCCTTACTCCACACACCTGATAATAATCCCTCAAGNAAAAAAACAATAATAAATTGTTCACTTCAATCTACGACTGTTTGTGGGACGCTGCTGTGCGCAATTGGCTGCCGCATTTCGCCCACACATATACAGTCAATTCACTTTATAGTATATTCTATGAAGCGCTTTGAGACGTCGAGAAGTTGTGAAAGTGCTATATCAAATGCAAAGATTATTATTACTTCTAAAGTCCTCCATGGTCTTGCTCCTCCCTACCTCTGCGACCGCTAAAAACCTTATCCACCTACTCGCTCCCTTCGCTCGGTGGGCATTGACCTGCTCCATGTCATCATCCTGTCCGCCCCGCCATAGGAGCTCGGGCCTTCAGCTTTTCTGCCCCGACCCTCTTGGTACTCCATCCCTGAATCCCTTCACCTCACCCCGCCCTTGCCTCCTTCATGCCCAACCTCAAGACCTTCCTCTTTGACCATACCTTCAGTCATCTTTGCCCTCCACCCTTCTTGATTCCTACGCTTGCTCTGGTGCAAACGCTTGACTGTCCAGCACGTTGGGACATCGTCCTGACATGAAAGGAAATTATAAACATAATTTCTTGTAGTTATTGTCTCCTTGTGATCACCTATGTTGACTAAACATAGTAAACACGGTCACTCAATTCACGACTGTTTGTGGGACACTGCTGTGCGTAATTGGCTGCCGAGTTTCTCCCACAAATATACAGTCAATTCACTTTACAGCATATTCTGGGAAGCGCTTTATCAAGTGCAAGGATTATTATTATGTATTATTAAACTTGAATGGTGCTCGACATGTCTACAATAGGTGAATTTATACAAAATCCTGGTAGACCGTCTTTGGAATATTGTGTCCAATTCTGATCTCTACTGTATAAAAAGGATATAATAGCGATGGAAAAGCATAGTGTAGGTTTACAAGGCTGATACCAGGGCTGACAGTACTCTTTCCATTTCTACTATATGCTGTCCATACACTGAATAGGTTAGGCCTTTCTTCACTGCAGAAGAGATGTTTAAGGGGGGAACTAATCCAAAGTATTTAAAGTTATAAAAGGGGTTGATGAGGTTAACATAAATAGGCTGTTTCCACTGGTTGGGAGTCCATAACCAGGGGATACAAATATAAGATAGAAACGAGGTGATCTAAAAGATAATTTAGGAGGAACTACTTTACGCAGAGGGTAGTGAGATTTTGGAACTCGCTGCCTGAAGTGGTGGTTATATCAGATATTAAGGAGGAAGGTAGAGCTTCACGTGGGAATTGGTGATGACTCGTGGGGAGTGCAAACACCTGCACGGACTGGTTGGGCTGAGTGGCCACTTGCCGTGCTGGACATTCTTCGTTAACTTTTCTGGCCAGCAATTGGAGCTAACCTTTAACTTTTTGTTGCAATTCTTCTAACTTGTCACAGGTGGTGTGGGCAGGAACTGTTGCCATAAGCGGATTGATAGTAAAAAGTATTTGTAGCAAATGCACATATAGGTGTCTACAGTGGTCATTTCAAACAAGACTTGTTCAGGTTACCAGGCGGAAGAGTTTCACACTGACTCATCAGAACTCTTCTCCGAAGGTAGATTGAGTTGGAGTGAATTCTTATGAGTCAGTATGACCACTTCTTGTTTCCTTAAAGAAATGTGGTTGTCATATATTTAGAGACAGAGTAGTTAAGGTTAAACTAAACAACAACAAATTGTATTTCTATCGCACCTTTCTTGTCAGGAAGAATAATTTGGAATAATGAAGTTTAATTTCCCCAAAGAAAGCCGAATCTGGCAACAAATACGTGAAGATATGAACTGCCTGGCCTAAATTATCGCAAACCTCTACATTTTAATTTGTGTTTGCAGTTTGCTGTGGCTTAGACTGGAGTCACAGATGTGTTGTACCTTACAGTGAGACACACGTAACTGCTTCAGCTTAAACGTACTTTCAAAATTCTAGCATCCAAAGTAAAATAATAATACTCCTTGCATTTGATATAGCGCCTTATCACGTCTTCGAGACGTCTCAAAAGACGTATAAACAATCATGTTCATGTAGCTTTGTGTTTCCCATACATAATCAGATGGAGAGATTTTTACTCATTATTGCGAGGTGAAAACATGGTTATAGTTTTCATAAAAGTGAAAGCCTTTAAGGGAGAAGAGTGAGCCTATCACTTTTCAATGAGATGTTACATGCAAGTGACGCAATATATTTTGCACCACCCTGCTGTGTGCAATTGGCCCCCACGTTTCGCCCACAAAATATACAGTCAATTCACTTTACAGTACATCCTGCAAAGCGCTTTGAGGCGTTATTGCTGCAGTCCTATAGCACAGTGGTTAGAGTACTTGCCCCATAAATGAGAGACCCAGGTTCAGGGCATGGTGGCTGAAGGCACTTCCACTGATGGTAGAGCGGAGGGGACGAGGGGCGAACAGAAGGCCGGAGCCGGCCGAGGGAGGCAGCAGGTGGTGGAGTGGGGGGTAAGTAGGTCAGAGAGGTAGGGAGGTGTGAGGGCATGAAGGGATTTGAAAACGAGTGAGAGGGTCTTGATATCGATCTGTTTGGTAGTTGGGAGCCGGTGGAGCCTGACAAGGACTGGTAAGATGGGGATGGAGTTATATGAGAGTGAGTATCTGCAGCGGAGTTTTGACTGAGTTGAATTACGTGTATCCTTGAACGGCCCTGGTATGATTGGATTGTTTGTCAGCCTTTAGAATTTCATCTTTGCCTTTTGTTTCTTCAAGGTCAAACCTGTGTGGATATAAAGGATAACATCGTGGGGGAGGGGTATTATTTCACCCCGAAAGGCAATGATCCATGTCTGAGCTGCACCTGCCACAGAGGGGAGCCTGAGATGTGTGTGGCTGCTCTGTGTGAGCGCCCACAGGGTTGCCAGCATTATGAGAAAGATCCAAAGGAATGCTGCAAGTTCACCTGTCTCGATCCAGGTGAGAACTCTCTGCCGTTACGTACAACAGCTGTGCAAACGGTAGAAAATCCGAGCTGTTGTATCTCAACTCCTGTAATGGACAAGTTTACAAAGGTGTTTTTTTTTATAGGGACTAGAATTCAGCCTGCTGTATTATAAACAGGTTAAACGCTCCGGAATGCTACCCCGTGTGAATGGCGCTCTATAAATACAAGTTGTTGTTGTTTGCAAGACTGACGTAGGATTGGTGTGTTTAGAAACTCTAATGAACAGCTTCTAAAATGACAATTTAGCAAAGCAATAAATATATTCCATTTGATTTGTAAAAAAAACACAGTGAGTTCTCACGAGCACAAATAATTCAGCGTTTACTCAAAACTAGAGGTGCAATAAAACTGGCATAAGTCTGATCTGTATAAATTGTATAATCACTTCAGTTGTATATCTGCCCAAGTCCTATTGAATTTCCTTTTAAATCCACTTAAATGTATCTGCACAATCTGTCACATTAACAATCGTGGAATTCGTAATGTCGATACGGCACTTACCAGGGGCCGGGTCAAAACTTTGTTTCCTGCACCTTCCTCAAATAGACACCGAACATACACACCCCAACACTCCCCGTGCCTTCCCTCCTGGGGCACAACATCAACATCATCGCATACAGTAGCCGGGGACGGGGTTGGGGGTACTGAGGAGAGAGTGTCACCTGATCACGCGGTGAGTGAGCAGGTGAGGAATGTCAGATCACATTGAGAGCAATGGGGACCCTTCACCACATGCACAGTTACCAGCCTTGAAACAGCAAACACAGGAACCCAAGTCCTGACCCCTCAGTGCAGTTACCAACTGTAATGCCAGGACCACATGTGCAGCACAGAACAGTCAACAGGTACAGAGGACAAGGTTTTGATCAGAGTTTATATTCTGTTGAACAGCTCTATTTTGAAACCTGGTTGGATGTGCCATTCATTGTACAGCACATGTTTTCTACACGTGAGGTATAGCACTGCAGCACTGTATATGGGAAGACTGGGTATGGGTTAAACACAGTACAGAAACCGTGCCTTAATGTCATCAGCCAGTTGAGTAATTATGTATTTGTTATGTTTACGTCATATAAAATCCGACCTATACATAACTTTACACAGGTCATACATGAAGCCACTTATGCAATTTTCCCATAAGTCATATTTAATGTATGGTCCCAACTGACACGACTTTTGTGGAGGTTTACGGTGCAGTTCTGCGCTTATCCACGAGATGGTGCCAAAAGGAATGAAGTCTGATCAGACGACATCAAATCTTTTGGATGAAACCTGATTACTGATGAAATATTAAGGTTTTGACTGAATTTTTGTTCTAGTGCAGGATCGTTTCACTATCCCCCAAATACTGTACGCGTTTAAATTCTAAAATGGACTTCGATGCTGCTCCCCTAACTGGAGAGGGAGTCAGGGATGACCAGTGTCAATCCGGTGCTGCTGAGAACTGAAATATTTCGTTGCTAGAACTTTTAATCCCAAACTGTGTCTGATTAGCAGATCCGAGTCTTTTTGCAAAACATTTTCATGATTCAAAAGCCTAAATTACAAGATTTTCTGTTATCCCCATGTATAAAAGCGCTACATAACTGCAAGCTGTTGTGCTGCTGAGGAGAATGAATCATAGAATTGTACAGCACAAAAAGAGGCCACTCTGCCCATCGAGTTCGTGCCGGCTCTTTGAATAGAGCAATTAATGTCAAAATGGCCATGGTCCTCTGCTCCTCCTGCCCTTGTTAAAACTTGTGGTTCTGGTTTGGGAGGAGAGCAGGAGAGCAACTCTCATGTTCTTTAAAGGTTTTTAATAAGCATCTGGAGGTGGAATCGCTAGCATTGTGATTTGACCACTAATGATCAACCAATTAATATTGTCACTTTTAGTTCAAAATAAAAATTGCAAGCAGAGCTCCTGTAGATCTGCCGCCCACTGTGGACCGATGCGGACTGCTCCAGCACATTGGGACGTCCTCCCGATGTGAAAGGCGCTATACAAATGTAATTTGTTGTTGAATGACGTGGATTTATTTGCTGGGTGGACTTACTTCCTTGTGTTTACTTCAATGACTGGCCTCCTTCTGTGCTGACATCTGAATCTTCAAAGCCGCAATTAATATTTTGTTGGTCCATTTTTTGGGGGTCAAAGCTCAGCCTGGGTGACAACAGTAATTGAAGTGTATTTATTTGTTAATCAGCCGATAATCCCGACTGTAGATTTTGCATCTCCAGATGGAAACAGTATTTTTGATTCAATGGCCAGTGGAATGCGCCTGATTGTGAGCTGCATCTCCTCATTTCTCATCCTCTCGCTGCTGCTCTTCATGGTGCATCGGCTTCGCCAGAGACGCAGGGAGCGCATTGAGTCTCTTATAGGGGGGAACTGTAAGTACCTGTGTGTAGCATCGACATTGCCATTCTATCAAACTCACCTCCACATCCCTGTCCAGGCTCCTCTTCCTTTTATAGCTGTGTTTTCAGAAACGTAAAGAATTCCAGTTTCCTGGAAGGAATAAAGGAAAATTGCAACCGGTGTGATTTGTAAAGGGGAAAAATACCTTGAAACCATTTCTGATCTTACACAGAGCGTGGTGAGAATGTGGAATTGTGTTTGAGGCAGAGTCCAAAAAAAAGTTAGTTCCTTTAAAAGGGAACAAGGCTGACTGGTAGAGTGGAATTTGATTTCATCATGTGGCTAAAAACACCAGATTGTCCGAATGGCCTATTTCAGTGCTGTAAAAAATCATGATTGTAAAGAAATGCAGGACATAGAGAGACTAGTAGATTGGGCAGATGACTAGTAGATGGCAGATGAACCTTAAAGAGAAAAATGTGAAGTTATGCATTTTGGGAGGAAGAATTGGGAGAGGGTGTATATGCTAAATGGTAAAAACAGAGACCTTGGGGGGTAATGTACATAATTAATTAAAGGTGGGAATACAGGTGGGCAATATCTTATGCTGTGAAGGAAGCTAATGGGATCCTAGGTTTTATAAATAGGGATATAGAATATAAGATATTGGTGTCCCGTAACATAGTGGTTTGCAAGTTTCCTTCACATGCCTCTGTTCACCTAATAATAATCCCTCCAAAACAAAACAATAATAAATTGGTCATTTTCAATCTACGACTGTTTGTAGGACATTGCTGTGCGCAATTGGCTGCTGCGTTCGCCCACAAATATACAGTCAATTCACTTTACAGTGTGTTCTGTGAAGCGCTTTGGGACGTCCTCCCGACGTGAAAAGCGCTATATCAAACGCAAGGATTATTATTATTATCCACACCGTTCTTGGGCTTGGGGATTAGTATTTCAAAAGGATGGGAAAACTGATCAAAACAAATCTTATTTAAATATTTAAATGGGGTATTCATCATCTTTATTACCTCGTATTGAATTTTCGAACGACGGACACTATTCATACCCTCCATCTGATCCAGTCCCGGCTGCCCACATCCTCACCCATACATAATTCCAAATGCCCATCACCCAAGCCCTCACCAGACTCCACTGGCTCCCTATGGATTGACATCAAGGCTCTGATCTTAGAATCATAGAATATTATAACACAGAAGGAGGCCATTCGGCCCATCGTGCCTGTGCCGGCTCTTTGGAAGAGCTACCCAGTCAGTTCCACTTCCCCATACTTTCCCCATAGCCTCGTAATTTTTTCCTTTTCAATTCCCTTTTGAAATTGTTATTGAATCTGTTTCCACCCTTTCAGGCAGTGCATTCCAGACAGTTACAACTCTCTGTGTAAAACATTTCTCCTCATCTCCCCTCTAGTTCTTTTGTCAATTATCTATGTCCCCTGGTTACCGACCCACCCGGCAGAGAAAACAGTTTCTCCCTATCTACTCTATCAAAACCCCTCATAATTTTGATCACCTCTAATTAAATCTCCCCTTAACCTTCTCTGCTCTAAGGAGAACAATCTTCTCTTATAAATCCTTAAATATGTTGCATCTCACTAACCCCAGCTAATGCAGACCTGCTGTATGCCCTCTGCCTCCTCCATACCACCATCCATACCAAGCTCTCAGCCCCTAAGCTCCGTTACTTCCTCCCTCTACCCCTCTCTATCTGCCATTAAATCCTACCTAAAAAATCTCCCCACTTTGACCATGTTTACAGTCACCTCCCAGTTCCCTTTCACTTGAGATCTGACTCCATCCTTGTGAAGTGCCCCAAGACATTCTCCTATGTGAATGTTGTGATATAAATTCAAGTTCAATTATATTGCATTCTTCTGATTAATACATTCTTACCCGGAGCAGGTGAAGGTGTTCCCATGAATCCATACCCGTTTACTTTGGGCGACTCCTGAGGGATTAATTCCTTGCCATCAGGTCCCACTTTGCCCTGTTTGAACTTTAAAAAAAAATAAGAGCCAGGTTAGGGTCAGGGGAAGCCTGTCAATTCACTTTATAGTGTGTTCTGTGAAGCGCTTTGGGACGTCCTCCCGACGTGAAAAGCGCTATATCAAATGCAAGGATTATTATTATTATTATTATTATTATTATTATTATTATTGCGGAAGGTAGGAGCCTGGTTGTTAGATCGCTTTCTAGGGGTAATAATCCCTCAAAAAATCCACGACTGTTTGTGGGTCACCGCTGTGTGCAATTGGCTGCCGCATTTCGCCCATAAAATACATCCTCAATCCAATATCCCAAAAAATTTTAGTTAAATCTTAAGAGTATTGAGTGTTTGAGCAACCCATTTTAGGAAGGATTTCAGGACCACTTTAGCTTTCAAGAAAGAACTAAATCAATAGATAGATATATAAAAAGGCATTATTTGCCAAGCTCTGGGGAAAGGACAGGTAATGAGTCTGATTGGATTGCTTTCCAAAGCATCAACACAGACTCAATGGGCCGTATAACCTTCGTGCTGTAAGTTTCTATGGTTCTGTGATTCTGCGAAATGAAGTTGATATTGCATGTCTCTTCCTATATTTGTGGGTGAAACGCGGCAGCCAATTGCACATAGTAGTGTCCCACAAAAAGTCATGGATTGAAATGACCGATTTATTATTGTTTTTTTTTCTTGAGGGATTATTATCAGGTGTGTGGAGTAAGAAAACTTGCCCAAGGTTTCCCTGCCTGAAATCGAACCCAGGTGTCTCGCTTGAGAGGCGAGTGCTCTAATCACTGAGCTACAGGACAAGTATGATTAAAGAGATCACAATAGATATTTGAATGATGTAACACCAGATTTGTACATTGCCTCATATTGAATGACTGATAGAGAGCTTTATGCAATCCCATACAGTTTTCCTTTATTACATATATAATATATACTGGAATGCACGGCCTGAAAGGGTGGGGAAACAGATTCAATAACAACTTTCAAAAGGGAATTGGAGAGGTACTTGAAGATGAAATATATATGAAATATTACAAGGATTTGGGGAAAGAGCGGGGGAGTGGGACTGATTGTGTGGTTCTTCCAAAGAGCCAGCACAGGCACAATGGGCCGAATGGCCTCCTTCTGTGCTGTAATATTCTATAATTCTATTCTACTGTACGCAATTGGCTGGTGCGTTTCGCCCACAAAATATACATTGACTACACTTTATAGTATATTCTGTGAAGCGCTTTGAGATGTCTTGAAGACGTAATAATGCACTATAGCAAATGCAAGGATTACTCTATCTGACTAGCACCTTGGGACGTCCTCCCGACGTGAAAGGCGCTCTACAAATTAATTTTGTTGTTGTTTTATTATTATTATTACAGGTTCCAGCATAAAGCAGGGTGCGGAGTGGGGGAGGGGAGGTTGCATGTTTGTATTTGAGACGGTCTTCCCAACAGGAATTTTCCACAACCAAAAAAATTCTCCAGGTTTTTTATTGCCCACTTGTTTTCCCCAAACCTGTCTCAATTCATTTCATCTTCACCCTGCTTCACCATATCCATCTATCTCGTGTCACCTTGCTCATTTACCCCTGCAAGTGAAGAGAGTTACATAAAGCTGAGGCCATCTTATATTCACCACAAGTATATCTTTCTGATCACTGCAAGGTCACGTGTACTTGAATTGATCTCCAATTTTCCATTTAAGTCACTTCCTTCAATGAAGAAGATTTGGATGACAGGAGGGACGCTGCAGTTGTGTTTGGTAACACTCCAAACATTCCACTGTTCTAGTTCTAATTGTGTTTTTGGTGAATGGACAAGTGATAATGACAGCCTGCTCCTCATTTCTGCTTTATGTTCACAGTGCATCACTTTAACCTGGCCCGCAGTCGAATGCCTGGCTTTGATTATGGCCCAGACAGTCTTGGTTCGGGCCTGACTCCCCTACATCTGTCTGACGATGGTGAAGGAGGAGCATTCCACTTCCACGATCCCCCGCCTCCATACACCGCCTACAAATATCCAGATATACAGCATCCTGATGACCCTCCACCTCCATATGAAGCATCCATTAACCCAGACAGCATGCTTTGTGTCAGCCCAGGTATGTATATGTAACTCCTGTCTGTTGCTGAAGGCGTTACTGCGACCAAATTAAAAATTGAGGGGTTTGTTGATTGACACATATTAGGTTGTGTGGCCCAGATACAATCTCACTTTGTTTAGTCCATGAACTGAAGGGATCATTTTCTTATATACATCACGATTAGGCCATGGTGGGGGGTGCGGGGGATGGGGTAGATGGAGGAGGATTATAAGGAGTCACTTTTTAAATCATGGCCATGTGTCGGATGGGTGTCTTGACACAGACAGAAACCCTTCACTGTGCTTAAGAATATCCAAACCAGTCTGAGTTCATGTACACAATTCACATGTGGACATTTCTATGCATTGGAATGGAATGTACAGTCTCTCAAGAGGGACATATCCATCTTCCCTAATCCTGGAAAGTATTGGGTGCAGTTGGCAAGAGCCAAAACTTGAGACCCCCGTGTCTGTTGGGGTACGTCTAGAGATTAGCCAGCTAAAACCACTCAACTTGCCATTGCCTGCAAAGTTTCCGGATGTTTGGCAGCTTGAACCATCCTATTAGGGCTTTAGTTTACAGGGTGACCAGGAGCTGATTAGGAAGAATCCCTGCCCCTAATGACTGGTCTGCCCTTCCAAGATGTGCCAAGCTGGCTAGTTTGGCATCAGCAGTGCCCTGGCCTACTGGAGACCACATGATTTAGGAACCGACTATGGAGACTGCTACAGAGGGTTGCCTCAATTCCAACCTTCCGTTGCTAAACATGTCACCTTTGAGCTAGTTCAGCTCCGTGAGGTTTCAGCCTAGAGCTTGAACCCTCAAGGTTCTGACCCAGAGGCGAGGATGGACAAACGAGACAGTCTGATATCTAAGGATGTCAGCGCTTGGAACGAGCACAGATGCCACTGCTTTCACTTGTGTTCTCAATTGACATATTGTCTTTGACCTTGTCTTAGAATCAAGGACATGTGCAGCACACAACGAGACCCTTCGTCCCATTAAATCTGCACCAGCTTTGATGAAAGTGTTCATTGAATCCTACTGCTCGGCCTAGCTTTATACCCCTTCAAGCCTCAATACTTCATATCCTTGTCTACTTCCCTCTTGAAACCCACAATGGACTCTGCCTTTGGCACCTTACATTCCACATCCCAACAACTGAGTGAATAAAATTGTCCCGTGCTCTCCTTTGGCTCTTGTGACTTGCTTATGCGCAGTCACTGACATCCTGACCAGTGGAAATAGCTTCTCCCTCTTTCCTTTGCCATAACTCGTCATTAAAGCGCTCTGGGACACTACACTGCGTGAGGGGCGCTATATAAATGCAAGTTGTTGCTGTTATATTGCACACCTCCATCAGGTCACCTCCCAACTTCATATAGTGCCTCATCACCTCAGAACCAAAGTTGTCTAACTTGTCATTTCTTTTTTGTTAATAAAAATACCATGTAGCTGACGGTGGTCTGCAGGTGTCGGACCCGAGCAGTCAGTTACCTTTCCGAGCGGGTGAGGACGCTGAGCTGGCCGAGGAGGAGGATTCCAGCCTGGCTCCAGCCGCGGAGGAGCTCGAGGATTCCGTGGACAGCAGCAGTCTGTTAGTACCACACGACACCTTGGAGAATCACAGCACGTCCTCCGAAAGTGTAGCAATGAGCCGGAACAGTAACTGTTCAATTAATACAGTTGTATAAATGGGGGGAGGGGGGCGGGTGGGGGGGCGTGTTTTATCATTGTTTTTGAATTTGGAGCAGCTATTTGCACACTGCTGTACAGATGACACGACTCTGATGACTTAAGTAACAAAGCTTTTTGTTTGTTTTCCAACACTCAGCTTTTCTGTTTTGTTTTTTTTAGAGTTGCTCTTGTGTATATATTGATTGTGGATTCCCACACGTTTCCCTGAGAGACTCTGGGTACATTAGGACGTTAGGAGACTAATGGGCAGCTGTGTTTTCTTTTTTTCTACGCGCTCTGCATATGAATGCAGGGCTTTGAGCGACTCCGAGACTGAGGTGGTTGTGCATGCTGAATATGTGCCACCATCAGTGTTGCATATAAGGAAGAACTTGAGTTTATTGGAAACGGCAAGGCCTTCCTGTGAAAGAGCTGAGTGCGATTGATCTGGGTCTGGCATTGCAATCACCTTTTGTGAAAATTCGTCACCGTGGGCCTAGTGACACCTCCAGTGTCACAGAGGAGGGCGTGAGTTCTGTCTGTTCTGAATCATAAAGCATCAGTGAATGGATTATCTACTGAGCAGATTCTTATATTTGTATTTTGTAACTGTTCTAATCTTTTCCCCCACTTGTAATATTTTCAGATGTGTTGATTTTCACTGAGCGGCATTAAAGCGGTTATTGGATCTTGCACTGAGCAGACAGTGAGATATTTTCTGATTGTGTTAGCAAGACTCCATTCAGTTGGAGCCTTTGTGAATGCGAGGCTGCTTTTGTGTTGTCCTTTAACCATCTATAACTCCTGTCTCTCTCCTTCCAGCCCTCTGTCACCCACCCATCTCCCCACCCACCCTCCCAGCACAAACAAATCTCTTTGAAAGTCTGCAGTTACAAAATGTTTGTATCTAGTTTGTCTGTGATTGAACTTACTGTGGGAGTGTAAAGATTTTGATATTCAATGAAATGCAATGTAGAAAATTAAATTTGATACTGGTAATTGGTCCCTGTGTGTTTTAGGGTTTTTGTTTCAGTTTCCATTTTTATTTTTGTTTTGTTTGGGGGTGGGGGGGGGCAGCACTTCAGGATAAAAATGTGTTTCTCAAGTTGCTGTTAACATTTCATCAAAATGCCAAATAAATTATATAATGGAGAAAGCTTTGTTTCCAAGCTGTGTGTTGCTTTTTCTTCTAAGTCACGCTCGCTCTTGCAAGTTAGTCTATTGAAGTACAAATATACGAAACCTTCAGAATTGGCAGATTGTTCTCTGTACTTTCTGATCTACACAATCCTTTTTATGTTCTTACATAACTTCAAAAACAAATATAATTTAAGATGATTTGGCTTTGCAGATATATCCTTATATTATGTGTGAGTGAAAATATGGGTTCTTGAAGACTGAGTGGCTTTAAAGAAGAAATGAAAACTACTTACTTCATCTACAGATAAACTATCTACAACTTAATGCGTGGCTGAAATCCAGGTGGACTCATCCCAGTGATGAGCCTGGTTTTCAAATTAAATTTCTAATGTTTTCCAGTGAGTTGGAAAAAAACATTGGGAATGAAAGGATTCTACTGGGATATTGCACAGAATGATTAACATTTATCAGGTTGATGTGCTACTGATAGAATGGGCCCTGACTGCACATTTAATAATAATCATTGCATTTGATATATCGCTTTTCTCATCAGGAAGAAATCTCAAAGGGCTTCACAGGATTCACTATAAAGTGGTGACTAAAGCATAGACAAATATATGGGCACCTCAATGTTCCACATACAGCCATGAAATGAATGAACAATTTATAATCCTTGTATTTGATATAGCGCTTTTCACGTCTTCGAGACATCTCAAAGTGCTTCACAGAATATACTGTAAAGTGAATTGACTGTATATTTGTGGGCAACATTTAATTGCAACTGGAAGAGATTGTGCTATCCATACTCTACCAGAGAAGCTGGTTCGTTGCAGGCAAAAATAAGTCTATTTTGTCTTTCATTATTGCACAATGCTGTCGTGCTTTCACAAAACTAATTGCTGTGCGCAATTGGCTGCCACGTTCGCCCACAAATATACAGTCAATTCACTTTACAGTGTGTTCTGTGAAGCGCTTTGGGACGTCCTCCCGACGTGAAAAGTGCTATATCAAATGCAAGTATTATTATTATTATTATTAAAAGCTACTCATTTTGAGAAAATAATTCAATTAATGGTCTCTCTGATCAAACTTATAATCAAACTATTTCATTGCTATCAACCTAGTCACCTCCATTTCTTTCTTGCTCAGCAATGATAGAACATTATGATTGAGGGTTATCATTGGAAGGTGATAGTTTGGTTGTCAGCTGGCAATGGACAACCAAGAAACCCAAAGTGGAATGTTAAGTGTGTGTTCGCTTGGAGGCACGGGACAATACCAAACAAACAGCCACAGGTAATGCAAGAGCAAATATTGTGATCCTAAGTAATCAGTCTTGTTATGATTAATAACCATAGATTTCAGATTACAGATTGGCGTGGGCTGATTGGGCCGAGTGACCTGTGTCCCTGCTGTACAAAAGAGGACTGATAGGAGCTGATAGTGGGTTTGCAGTGCAGATGCTGAAATGTGGACACTTGACTGAATTGGCTTTATCCCCATATTGTGTAAAATGATCCATGTATTTTATTTTGTGTTGCTGAAATCAATAAGTGTTGGTAGCCCAAGTGTTGTACTTGAAAAGCCATATATTAAAAGCTTCTGGCAATTCACTGCATCCAGACTGAGAATAAACACTTTCCAGTAATCTTACTGTTTTACACTCTTGTCTTCGATGCTCTCTCAGTATTCCTGGGATATAGGATGTGCAATATTTATTTGCGAGACACATATTACTTCCATCAATTTGTTTAGCCAATACAAAGAATTTCATAAGAATTACCAAAGAAAAACATTGGTAACACATAGTACACAGAAGCAAAGAGCAATAACAATAAATGGAGGATAATCAATATTTTAATACTGTACATAATCATATAAATAAATTATTATAAATACATAATAATAAACTGGTTGCTTCAATCCACGACTGTTTGTGAGACACTACTGTGCACAATTGGCTGCCGTGTTTCGCCCAGTGAAATGCTTTGAGACGTCTCGAAGACATGATAAGGTGTTGTATCAAACATAAGGATCATTATTATTAATATTAGATGAAGGGGTTTAAATGTCCTAAATACTCGGAAGTAAACTGGAGCAGTTTCTCATTTCACCTCATTAACAGGTGATTGGATAGTGATCTGGAGCAGAAACCCTGTCTGCATGGTTTGGGTGTACCACTGTGAGATCTGCTAACCTTCAACAGGAATCAAAGCTGGGATCTTGGACCTTTGAGAGCCATTCGGCTCCATTTCATTCCAGGCAATGACCTTGATTCTTTTTAATTAGTGTCTTATTCTGTCAGTTAATTTCTTTAGGAGATCCTGCAATATGCAGAATAGTTCTTCGGAAGATTTTCCATTTCCACGAGCCTTGCTCAGTGCAGATGATTCTTCCCCATTAAGTAACAATGGACTGTGTTCCACACAGCTGATCAACTAGGGAAGACCTGGGGTTAGCTTGTGACTGGATTGGTTCCACCCATGAGCTGCTATATTACAAAACACGTATCCTGTGCCTATCACTTTCCAAACACATAATGAAACCTGTTGCCTCTTCACTCTTAATCTCTAATAATGCTTCAGATTTCTTGTTATCTCTGGAACAATCTAAAGTGCTACCTCAGGTGCAGACAGAATGGCGGTGGCTCTGTTAATATTCAAGCTTTTTCCAAAAGACTGCAGGCTGAAGAATGACCCCGGCTATAATATCAATATGTTCAGTGTATTTTCTCTCCACAGTTGGCCTAACTTGTAAAAAGGCCTTTCAAATTGAAGTGCTTCGTATTGGTTTTCTGTACACAGCGTGACTTGTGCCATTATGTGGCTGGATGCTCTGCCAATGGGATTTATTTTGCTGGAGTTCCCTCAGCTCATTTCTCTGCTTGCTCACTATTCTTGACTACTCGGCATGCCGTGCATAGATAAACATTTCTTTCCAATTAGCAGTCATGTAATATAGGTTCAAGATAATTGGCAAAAGAACCAAAGGGGAGATTAATTTTTTTATATACAGAGAGTTGTTACGGTCTGGAATGCATGGTCTGAAAGAGTGGGGAAACCGATTCAATAACAACTTTCAAAAGGGAATTGGATAAGTATTTGAAAAGGAAACATTTGCAGGGGTTTGGGGAAAGAGTGGGGGAATGGGACTGATTGGATAGCTCTTCCAAAGAGCCAGCACAGGTACGATGGGCCGAATGGGCAGGGCAAGGAAGACAAAAATCATCTGGGTCCTAGACACATCTTTTCTATCTCTGGTCTGCCTATTTTATTGCAAATTCCCCCCTTTGTTTTGCATTAACACCTCTTTAAACCATCATCCCCTGTCCTCTATCCCAATTTCTCCTTTGTCTTCCTTGCCCTAGGACTAGCCCAAAGCAAGGAGATCAATTTGATCCCTCTGCCCGCCTAAGCCCCACATCTCTTCAAGCCCCTCTCAGGCCTGTATAATTCCTTCTTGAAAGCTACAATGGACTTTGCCTCTATTACACGACTCAGCATCACGTGCCACATCTCAACAACTCTCTGGTGAAACAATTCCTTCTAAGTTCTCCTTTCACTATTGTGACTATAATAATTATATTCCCTAGTCACTAACTTTCCTGCCAATAGAAATAACTTCTCCCTATTCACAGTGTCTTCCCTCAGAATTGTGCACACCTCTATCAGGTTCCCCCTCAATATTCTCTACTCCAACGAGAACAGACCCACCTTACCATTATTACTTTACCTTTATACTCTATACCCCTGTGTATAAAACCCAGTTTGGTATTACCTTTCTTTACAGCTGTGCCACTTGTGATGACTTATGAACCTGTAGTCCCAAATCCCTTTGCTCCTCAGCTCCTTGCAAGACACTGCTATTCATTATGTACTGTACTCCCTTCTCTTGTTTTTCTACCAAAATGAATCACCTCACATTTTGCTTCATTAAACTTAATTTGCCACTGATCAGCCCAATGTGCTAATCTCTTTAAATCCTCTTGCAGTCTCTTGTCATCCTCGTAACTATTCACTATACAGTACTTCTTAGCTTAGTATCATCTGCAAACTTTGATACCATGTAACAACCATAGCAAATTATATTTCTATATTGCCTTTCATATCGGAAGGACGTCCCAAGGCCCTGAAATATACTCCTGATATCCAAGTCGTTATACATTCAGGCCATTGTTATACAGTATAAGGAGAGAAAACGAGAGGCCCCAGCAAAGACCTCTGTGGCACATCATTAACTATCTTCTTCCAACTGGAAAAACAATCCTTTATTCCTACTCTTTACTTTCTATCCTTCAACCACCTTTGTATCCAAACCTCCAAGTTTTCCTCTAATCCACCAGTCTTCTGGGCGGCATCTTATCAAATAATAATAATAATAATCCTTGCATTTGATATAGCGCTTTTCACGTCGGGAGGACGTCCCAAAGCGCTTCACAGAACACACTGTAAAGTGAATTGACTGTATATTTGTGGGCGAACGCGGCGGCCAATTGCGCACAGCAATGTCCCACAAACAGTCGTGGATTGAAAATGACCAATTTATTATTGTTTTGGGGTTTTTGGAGGGATTATTATTAGGCTCTGTATGGAGTAAGGAAACTTGCCCAAGGTTTTCCTGCCTGGAATTGAACTCAGGTCTCTCACTTGCAAAGCGAGTGCTCTAACCACTGAGCTACAGGACTCCACGAAATGCCGTTTCAAAATACAAATACCTCCAATATAGGATCGCCTTGATCTAAATTTTCAGTTACTTTGAAAAAACTATTAAATTGATCCAACACGATCTGCCCTTCACAAATCTGTGCTGACTGTCTCCCATTAACTCATGCCCATCGAAGTAATCACTAGCCTGGTCCCTTATTATTTCCCCAAATTTGCCCACAGTTGCCGTAAGGCATATTCTAGGTGCCAGTCTTGAACAGAAGTCCAACAGTATCTTTTTTTCGTGTTCTCTCGTAGCTTTCCTAATTTCCCTCTTTGCCTATTTTCTACACCTTTGATGTATTGTGTGGTT